GTAGGTTCTGTGGAACATCAAAACATTACTGTATTGGGGTTACTTGTTACATCCAACTTTAATTGTGAGGTGTAATGAGTGCTGCAGCTTTAGGGGCCACTCATGAGGCTTAAAGAAGAATTATCGTCAATTAAGCGCTGATAAATTTGAGCTGTAAAGAAGAGAAGTGAGCATTGATCGTTATCAAAACACTGTAGATAATAATCTCTCTCGCTGTTCATGAGTGCAATAGCAGACTATAACCAAAGATTATTGCTCTAATGTGTCTCCTTGCTATGTCTCCCTCTCTCTTCCCGTCTCTCTCCAGTGGACATCAGAGCCATATGAGAGTATAGACGCGACTTATTCCAACGCAGCCGTCACAGCGAAAGACGGCACAAGTCAGGTGACCGAGGCCAGGTCACCAGCCAGGGATTAGAGAAGACCACAGGAAGAGTCAGAATCTTCTCACAGCTCCAGAGCCACGGATCAAAAGACGTCTGAGAGAGGAGAACCACAACACACACACACACACACGCACACACACATATGAAGAGTGCCATACTCATACACGTCAGAGAGACTGTATAAGTACACGTACACACAAACAACCCCTTTTTTTGACCTAGTACTGGGATCTGTAGAGAGAGTCTACACGCTATACACAAACATACAGTCTATGCAGATTGCGAACATCAACAAAGTGGATTTATGAGAGAACGCACCCATGCACACAAACCTGCCTCCTCTCCTGTCCTCAGCATGTGGTCTCACCCCGTTGTCTGAATGTAAACAAGTGTGAAAACAGGATCTATGGCCTCCGGTGTATGAATTAAAGACGTTTTTAAATAGGGCTGCCTCTCTTTCTATGTTGCTCATGTCATCTGTTACCATTTCCAAAGCACACAAGAGCAAAGCGTTTTCTGCTTTCCAGGAATTCATATATTTATTTGAAGTCAACATGTGATCCCTGAGAACTTCTGGCCTTCCAGTCAGTGTCATGACCTCCTCACCTCCTATAAACACTACTCCCCAAGGCAAAGGAAACACTGTAGAGGACTATAGTACTTGACGGTAATATAAAAACCGACTGAAACAGAAAAAGAGGAATTCAACACCCTGAATCAACCCCAACAGGATGGACAATTTAGGATAAAAAACTAAGAAAATAAGGTGGGTATTTTATTTGAGTATCCAGTCCCTTTAGACACAGTTTGTTTTAAATTCCCTCTAGTTTTAACCCAACAAAAAAAAACAAATAAAGGGTTCAGCACTCCTCTCCACAAATTTATAATCTGGAGAAATCTTTGACATGCTTTCATTTTGGGAAATAAAATGTACATAAAGTATAATTGAACTAATTGAATATAATATCCAAATATCCACAGATTATTCTTCTATAATATTTATGGTCAATTTTTCTGAGGCTGGTGAAATGTGCAATTGGTGAACTCTATGCTCGTTGTTTCTCCCTGAGCTGAGATTAGCACTAACCAAGTAACAAAGTTTAGCTGAGGCTGACAGAAATGTTATTACAATTTTCATGGCAATCCATCCTATATTGGCCAAGACGTTTTATGAAAAACCCCATGTCAACCTCGTGGTGGTGCTACAGCATCAAAATAGATATTGAGATGTTTTACTGGCTAAGTGAAATTTTTACCAACCAACATTATCATTTTTTTTTATCTTCCAACACTCCAAAGAAAGAAAAGACACAGTCAACATTGCAGAAAAATCTATTAAGTATTTATTTGTAAGTTGTTACATTTAGATTTCTTTCTCTAGCAGCACTATTTAAATTACAGATATTCAAGGGCAGTTTACCATAGATTGGAGTCTTCTCTTAATACAAGATGTCATGTGTGGTAAACAGAAGACAGAGACTGAACCGGTAGATTCAAAATGTAGCCACAACTGAACACGCTGTTAACGTGATGGTAATTCATATGGAGTTAAAGGCTGTATGAACAACAATTTTTTGTCTTTTGAGATTTAAAAAAAAAACTGACTGAAATAAACTTTCCTGTTAAAATAAATTAAACAGACAAAACAAATTGAAAACTAGTGAACAGCTTCTTTGTTACACAGTTACAATTTCAGAGGGATCTGATATGGTTGCTCTTAATCCACATCAGTCACACTCCAAAATGTTCAGTGTCTGTTTACAAAGTCTTCAGGGTGTTGCTTGTTACATGACGATCGAAGTAGATTATATGTGGATGATTCAGAGAATATGACACAAACCTACAACAGCAACGCGAGAATACAAATAAAATGCGTTTCGTAAGGAACATTTTGAGTCCAACGGAATATGTGATTTTATATTCCAACAACTCCTTTGACCCCTTTACATTGAAAACAAACGGTAGATTATAATTTATTGGCACATTATCCACAAAGAAGCATTACTGGCACGTACATTCTCACTCTCCACAAATCAAACCTTGTTTTTTCCTTCTGTGTATTTAGATTTTACATGGTCAATATTCATCTTTTTTCAACTTGTTTTGTTTGTAAAGGTCCTATACTCATTTGGAACACATTTAGTCGCTCTTACTGCTGGCAGTCTGTATGAAAATAGTGAGCTGAGCAAGCAGGACGAGTTAGCTTAGTTAGCCAAACCTACTCTTAGTCGCGCCATGGAATATGTCTGACCACATTATCCCCCACCAAAACCAACATTCTTTTATTTTATAACACTTGGTTTAAAAAAAATTGAGCAGAACAAATGTGGTGACTTTTATATGTGACTGTGCCAGAAGAATAGCAGTTTAGAACTTAGGCTAGCTAGTCCTATCTAATCTAAGATAACCGGCTGCTTGGTTCTCTAGCTTCATTGGTGCACGTACATATATAGTGAGTAGGTCACTCGAAACGTTTACTCAAAATGTCAAGCTTTTTCTCCACACTCATCACAGTTTAACTACAGTTTCACACAACTAGTGTAATTTAACATGAAACCCGAGTTTTGACCCCCGACGAGTAAAACAAATTTTTTCCACTGGAGACTTGGCGTGTATAATAATTCTTTAATCTTGATTCTACTGTCCATCAGGTTGAAAAACTCAAGTCACAAAACTCTGTATGTTACAGCTAATCATGCAGAAGAAGTCGCCAATACCTATACATATATAAATGGTCTCTCACAATGCACATATTCTCTAATGCTCCAGTGCTTTGTTACCTTGCTATACACAGATCTGTTGTTGAAGTACAAGATTTACAGCCTGTAAGACGATGGCTGGATGAGAATGAGTCCTTGCCTGCTGCTATTCTACAGCAGAGGATAGGTGTTTCATCAAGGTTGGACTAATAGATTAGAAAAGTCTTTTCATGCTACAGTTATTGATTACTGCATCTCAGGTGACAGCGATGCTGATCAAGGATGATGATGCATTTCCTTTCGATATAAGCTTCAAAGTCATGATGAAAAGCATAATCAGATCCTTGGGCAGCACGATCCCTGGGAGGTTAGGGACACAGTGGCTCGATGATCTTCATTTTAATTGAAAACCAGATCACACAACTGCTTCGTATAATCAAGATAAGGGCTCTGCAGAGAAATAAATTATCACTCCCACGCTGCTGTGAGGATAACAAATTTACCGGCCTATGATAAGTTAAATATACGATTTTGTGAAACTTTGGTGGGGAAACAGAATGTCGTAAACTTTCCCACTTATTATTAAAATCAATTGTATGCAAAAATAATTGAGAATACGCTTTTTTGTGAAGTTCTTGCAAAGAGAGCTAGATGAGAAGATTGATACGCGCTCAGGCATGTTCTGTGAGAGACAGCCAAGCACAGTGGAAAATCTCCTGCAGCAGGACGTGCTGAGATTCAAAACCTCTGGGAGACGACGATAATCGGCGCAAGACATCGGCTTCACGATAATACAAACGCGACGCGGGGTGAACTTGCACAGCTCGCAGCAACTGCACTGAATTAACCACAGGAGAGAGGACAACAGGTTTTAAAGCATGACGGGGACAACTTGATTGGCTGGTTGAGCTCGTGGCGCGATCTGATTGGTTACCGAGCACCTGAAATCAGCTGATTAGAAGGAGCAAGGTGAGAGAGGGAGAATAGAGATAGTCTTCCTGATTGAACGTGCCCTAAGCTTCATTTTAAAAAGTATCCAGAGGATATACGGTACCACTTACATTCCCAATGGCTTCATTTCCAATGAGCCGAATGTGTACTCAAAATAAACATTGGTTCAGTTCAGATGTTCATATTCTCAAAAACATTAAACATAAACACAATAAGACAATTGAAGTCATTAAAAGTCTTCAAATTACAGGAACATTTTATTACAGCCACAGCTGATGATTATTTTCAGTGCTGGTAGTATGCGCGCATATTCTGTATTAAATAGAGGATGTATGATAAAAGCAAGGAAACCTGACATGAAGAATAAAGATGCTAAGGTGTGTGAGGAACTGTGAGACAGAATAAGATGTGTTAGAATTAAGTAGAAAAAGTGCTCATTGCACATTGGAAAAATTAAAACCTATATGTACCTGTAGTGTCCATCTGAGATACGTAGTGACTGTATTGTTAGCATACAAACAGAGGGAGAAATAAAGCAAGTGAAAATCAGCTTGTGGTTCAAGAGGAGGGACTGTAAGAGGAACATACAATATAGTCCTTTAGTTGAAGTGAAATGTGATATTTTCATGTCACAGCAGCAAGTTTGTACATTAACATAGTGCCATGTTTAGCAGGAAAACCCCTAAAGTACACTGCATTTTGTTTGTGCAGACGCTAAGTGAGATGATGTTATTATCACCACAAAGCTGAAGCCAAGGTTCTGGGATTAATCTTTCTCATTATCATAAAAAAATCATCCAAACAGCTGATGGCCAAAGCATGTGACCACAGTGTATTATTGACTACAAGTTATTCTTAGACACAGCCCGCTGTCTCTGACAGTTTGTGCTCCTATGCACCATCTTACAGTGCTACAGTATATGCAAGACCTGCATTTAGTCCCTCTGCTTTGCCTTTTCTCCAGGTCTCCTCGTCTTCGTCCACTCTCAGCCTGCTGTTTGGGAAGCGTAGTTTCTCCAGCGGCCTGGTTATCTCTGGGCTGTCTGCCGCTGAAGGGGGCAACACCACCGATACGCAGTCGTCGTCCAGCGTCAACATCGCCATCGGGCCCTCACACAGGTCCAGCAGCAGGGCCACACAGGTAGGGAACAAATCATGCAGGTAAACGTGCAAAGCCCCTGCCTCTTTATACACAGTGCCTCATACAGAACGTGGCCCTCTTGTTACCACACGGCCTTCACTCAGGCTCAGGAGTAAGACATACAGAACAAGTGTACGTTATACACTGATAAAACATTGTCTTATTTACTGCTCATTCACTCACAGATGTCTGGTTTTGGTGACATTTCTTCTCGCGCTACCTTCATTTCGAAACCAACTCTTGACCACTGAACAGATAATATCACGCTAAGATCACGATCTTACAAGTTTCACATTTCAGAAAACATGCTCATTTGCTTTCTTGGCAAGGGTTAGATGAGAGGATTGATATCACTTCTCACATCTTCTTCCTGCCAAGAAATAGACTGGCACATAACCATCATAAAACCTCAACTACTTGTTTGATGTTTGTACGATTAATGAGCTGTAGAGGTGGTGGTAGGTTCTGTGAACATCAAAACATTACTGTATTGGGGGTTACTTGTTACATCCAACTTTAATTGTGAGGTGTAATGAGTGCTGCAGCCTTTAGGGGCCACTCATGAGGCTTAAAGAGAATTATCGTCAATTAATCGTCTGAAAATTTGAGCTGTAAAGAAGAGAAGTGAGCATTGATCGTTATCAAAACACTGTAGATAATAATCTCTCTCGCTGTTCATGAGTGCAATACAGACTATAACCAAAGATTATTGCTCTAATGTGTCTCTGCTATGTCTCCTCTCTCTTCCCGTCTCTCTCAGTGGACATCAGAGCCATATGAGAGTATAGACGCGACTTATTCCAACGCAGCCGTCACAGCGAAAGACGGCACACAGTCAGGTGACCGAGGCCAGGTCACCAGCCAGGGATTAGAGAAGACACAGGAAGAGTCAGAATCTTCCTCAACAGCTCCAGAGGCAACGGATCAAAAGACTGTCTGAGAGAGGGAGAACACAAACACACACACACACACACGCACACACACATATGAGAGTGCCCATACTCATACCACGTACAGAGAGGACTGTATAAAAAGTTACACGTATACACAAACATACAGTGGATTGTATGAGAGAGCACCCATGCACACAAACCTGCCTCCTCTCCTGTCCTCAGCATGTGGTCTCACCCCGTTGTCTGAATGTAAACAAGTGTGAAAACATGGATCTTGGCTCCGGTTGATGAATTAAAGACGTTTTTAAATGAGGCTGCCTCTTTCTATGTTGCTCATGTCATCTGTACCATTTCAAAGCACACAAAGCAAAGCGTTTTCTGCTTTCCAGGAATTCATATTTTATTTGAAGTCAACATGTGATCCCTGAGAACTTCTGGCCTCCAGTCAGTGTCATGACCTCCTCACCTCCTATAAACACTACTCCCCAAGGCAAAGGAAACACTGTAGAGGACTATAGTACTTGACGGTATATAAAAACCGACTGAAACAGAAAAAGAGGAATTCAACACCTGAATCAACCCCAACAGGATGGACAATTTAGGATAAAACACTAAGATAAGGTGGGTATTTTATTTGAGTATCCAGTCCCTTTAGACACAGTTTGTTTAAATTCCTCTAGTTTTAACCCAACAAAAAAACAAATAAAGGGTTCAGCACTCCTCTCCACAAATTTATAATCTGGAGAAATCTTTGACATGCTTTCATTTTTGGGAAATAAAATGTACATAAAGTATAATTGAACTAATTGAATATAATATCCAAATATCCACAAGATAATTTCTATAATTTATGGTCAAATTTTTCTGAGGCTGGTGAAATGTGCATTGGTGAACTCATGACCTTGTTTCTCCCTGAGCTGAATTAGCACTAACCACAGTACAAAGTTTAGCTGAGGCTGACAGGAAATGTTATTACAAATTTTCATGGCAATCCATCCTATATTGGCCAAGACGTTTCATGAAAAACCCCATGTCAACCTCGTGGTGGTGCTACAGCATCAAATAGATATTGAGATGTTTTACTGGCTAAGTGAAATTTTTACCAACCAACATTATCATTTTTTTTTATCTTCCACACCTCCAAAGAAAAGAAAGACACAGTCAACATTTGGCAAAAATCTATTAAGTATTTATTGTAAGTTGTTACATTTAGATTTCTTTCTCTAGCAGCACTATTTAAATTACAGATATTCAAGGGCAGTTACCATAGATTGGAGTCTTCTCTTAATACAAGATGTCATTGTGTAAACAGAGACAGAGACTGAACCGTAGATCAAAATGTACCACAACTGAACACGCTGTTAACGTGATGGTAATTCATATGGAGTTAAAGGCTGATGAACAACAATTTTTTTGTCTTTTGAGATTTAAAAAAAAAACTGACTGAAATAAACTTCCTGTTAAAATAAATTAAAACAGTACAAAACAAATTGAAAACTAGTGAACAGCTTCTTTTGTTACACAGTTACAATTTCAGAGGGATCTGATATGGTTGCTCTTAATCCACATCAGTCACACTCCAAAATGTTCAGTGTCTGTTTACAAAGTCTTCAGGTGTGTTGGTTACATGACGATGAAGTAGATTATATGTGGATGATTCAGAGAAATGACACAAACCTACAACAGCAACGCGAGAATACAAATAAAATGCGTTTCGTAAGGAACATTTTGAGTCCAACGGAATATGTGATTTTATATTCCAACAACTCCTTTGACCCCTTTACATTGAAACAAAAGGTAGATTATAATTTTGGCACATTATCCACCAAAGAAGCATTACTGGGACAGTTACATTGACCACTGTGTCAGACAAATTCAACCTTGTTTTTCCTTCTGTGTATTTAGATTTTACATGGCTCAATTATTACTTTTTTCAACTTTTTTGTTTTGTAAAGGTCTATACATTTGGGAACTACATTTAGTCGCTTTACCTGCTGCAGTCTGTATGATAAATATGAAGCTGGAGCAGGCAAACAGTTAGCTTAGCTTAGCCAAACTAGCTCTTTAGTCGCCATGGAATTGTCTGACACATTATCCCCCACAAAACCATACATTTTTATTTTTACACTTGGTTTAAAAAAAATGAGAAACAATTGGTGACCTTTTATATGTGGACTGTGCCAGGATAGCAGTTAGACTTAGCTAGCTAGTCCTATCTAATCTAAGATAACCGGCTGCTGGTTCTAGCTGCATTGGTCACGTACATATAAGTGAGTGGTATCGAACGTTTCTCAAAAATGTCAAACTTTTTCTCCACACTCATCACAGTTTAACTACAGTTTCACACAACTAGTGTAAATTTATGAACCAAGACGAGTCCACATTTTTTCCACTAGACTTGGGTGTAAATATTTCTTTAATCTTGATTCTACTGTCCTCAGTGAAAAACTCAAGTCACATCTGTATTGTACTATCATGCAGAGAATCGCCAATACCAACATATATAAATGTCTCTCACAATGCACATATTCTCTAATGCTCAGTGCTGTTACCTGTAGTACCAGATCTGTGTTGAAGTACAGATTTACAGCCCTGTAAGACGAGGCTGGATGAGATGAGTCCTGCCTGTGCTATTCTACAGCAGAGGATGGTGTTTCATCAAGGTTGGACTAATAAGATAGAAAAGTCTTTTCAATGCTACAGTTATTGGATTACTGCATCTCAGGGTGACAGCGATGCTGATCAAGGATTGATGATCAGTTTCCTTTGATATAATTCAAAGTCATGATGAAAAGCAATCAGATCCTTGGGCAGCACGACCCTGGAGGTTAGGGACACAGTGCTCCGAGATCTTCATTTTAAATCTGAAAACCAGAAGTCACAACTGCTTCGTATTTCAAGATAAGGCTCTGCAGGAGAAATAAATTTCACTCCACGCTGCCTTGTTGAGGATAAAATTTCACCTGCCTTGATGTAAATAAAACAGTCAGGATCTCAGTCATCATCAAAAGTTGTCAAGCAGCCAGTGAAAAATAGTGAAAAGTTGAGCTTGACTTCTTGATTCAAAAGCCTGCTGCACCTAGCACTGTCCTGGTAAAGTTGCTCTGCGAGTCATGCATGTGGAAATAACCAACCATAGTCTATATTTGTTAATACAAAGAGGGTCCTTTAGTCATTCTGGTAATTCATGAGACACTCAAAACAAGAATTAAGTACCCATAACTTTCAATATTAGTGAAACATACTAGAAGAAAAATATGAACCTCTCAAAAGAGTTTCTGATATTTTTAATTGTCTGCATACTGCAGTACTTGAATACATACTCATACAGTATCGTTTATAGCAAATAACTGAATTATTTCATTTATTTAGCAAAAAGCATGCTGAATAGAAAAAATGTCACTTTTTTAGTCGCCTAAAGTGACAGTCAAATTCTTTTTATTTTCACCTGCAGATCATCTCTCGACGACTGTGATCTATCTACACAGGCATGACAAAAACCAAGAGGTTTAGGCATCTAAATCAATAAAGAGAAAAGTGATTGCCTAAAACGGTTAAAAACCAACTTCAACCAGTACCCGCACAAACATAATCTCTTTCCCAAAGTAGCACAAACACCTCTGGAAGAGGTTTGAAAGAGACGACATGAGGGTGTCGGTATTCATCGTAGGAGGAGCAGTGTGTTTTTTGCTGTGAAACAGGGCCATCTCTGCTCTGACTGCTATTAACAGTGTTGCATGTGTGATGTTACAGAGAGAGGAAGTGAGAGCCCGAGAGAAAGTGAGACAGACAGCGAGACGGAAAGAGAGCTTGAGGTCTGTTGTGAAGCATAAAGAGGCACCAAATCCAAACGGAGGGAACACACAAAGCAGGTCGAGTTTCAAACCAACATCAGTCGATAAACCTGTCTTTCCCTTAAGCCACGATGCACTGTGAGGAATTGTGGGAAAAATCTATACAACATCAACTCTCGGTTCAGGAGCTAAAATTTTCTGTACAAGTAAAGAAATGTAAAAAACAAAAATAAAAACATCATTAGCTCTAGATCAAACTTCAACTCAAAGCTAAAAGGGGCTCGAAAGAGCTGAGTGAATGGTCTTGTAAGTAACTTATATTATTAACTTTTCTTATATGTTGCATTAGTGGAATATTTAAAAAAAAAAGAAAAAAAAAAAGAAAAGAAAAACCCACTTCTGCTGATGTGCTTCACATCAACGCTACTGTATTCACACAGTGATAGTCTGACTGGATGTGGCTACAAAAAGAACAGGAAGTTGAATAATAGAAAAATAAGTTGCTGCTGTTTGCTGACGACATGGTGCTGCACTCATCCGGTTACAAAATTCACAACAGCTGTGCAGTGTCCACTGACAAACAACAGAAAGATCATCACGATAAAAATGTTAATTATTTCATGGCAAGTGGCATTTTTTTTTTTCTTCAATTTTATTCATGAATTACTGGTTATAAAATGTGACTTGTGTATGGACAGTGCACATCTCAAAGGCAGATACCATTAATGACTCAGCTTGTTTCCAGGTTTGCTCTGACTCAGCCCTTCAAAGTGAGACTATGTAACTTTTGCATGAAGAAATAAAACAGTGCGACTCTTGCAAATGAATAGCTGAATTCATAGGCAGTAAAACGTACCTCTGCTCAATTCAATACTCTCAATGGTTTTGTTGTTGTAGCCTCACTCGGTCCGATGTGACCGCTTTATGATTTGACTTTTCTCTACTTGTGCTACTTTTACACAATATTTTGTCATTTGTCCTTCTCCCATAACTGTCATCTGTGGCAACAGTGGCCTTTGTTTAGCAAAGGTTACATAGTCTTGCTTTTAAAATGACCAAATATAACAGTGGAAAAATGACAAGAACAAGTCCTGGGTGACCCAAACACATTATTGAGCTCACAGGCTGGGGGCTAGGTAACAATATTTATCACACAAAGTCATGATGTGGTTGCTCCTTCAATAAATAAAGTTTTTTTCTTCCCCCCCTCAGTTAGGAAATACTGCACAGGGTCAGCTACTAGAGTTGTAGCCTGAGTAATGAGAGTTTTTCCTGACAGTCAGTCAGTCAGTCGCTTTAACTGTCAGTTGAATTCCAGTCGTCTATATCATCTTACCAAGACTCCAGCACACAGCCACATAATGTCAGACAACAACACATTTATTTGTTTTCAGCAAGGTTTCTTTTTTTATCATCACGAAGGCATATACTATTTTCTCTGTATATTACTTGTTTTATATATATTTATATATATAATATTTATATAGAAACAAAAATAAGCGTACATTTTTGCTGAAT